AAAGAGAGAGGAAGAGAAAAATTATTGTATCGATTTAATTTGATTTTTACCGAAATATCACAAATAGTCAAAAATATAGCGAGCTAGTAAATTTATTTATGTATTCATCTTTATCATTCAAATTTATTTTAACAATAAAGTATTCTCGTTTCGTATTCTCATATATTGTTTCTCGATTGACAATGACAATTGTTTCGGAACGATGAAAGATCTTGGATATCATGGGATATCAATGTCAGCTATAAACGAAATCGAAAAATCCTTTCGTTGTAAGAGACGGTAGCTTCAAGTCGAAGGGGATTCCTTTCGGAAATCCAACCGGATCTATCCAACGAATTACTTCCGGTGTACTTGACTGAAGACGAGTTAGCTCAGCGGCGAGTATTCGGATTCTGTTGGTTTGCTAACATCGCGCTGAAATTTCGAATAGCGAATGCGTTGCTGGAGAGAAGGAGGAGAAGGAAGCGGAAGTAAAGGAGGCTGTCTATAACCACTCACTGACGTTTATTCATAAAGTCCGTCGACTGGCGACGGTGCAAACGTCGTCGTCGAATCCTGGTGGTCGAAACTCGAAACTATCCGACAAAATTAAGCTCCGAAACTGCATCGCGAATTCGGCTTTTACCCGTAGAACTTGAAGCGCTTTTCGTGTACTTGGCACTTGGTCTTCCCCGCTGTCGGATCCATTTATTTATTCTATCTGACGCGAGTTTAGCCAGAATGAGCATCTGCGTGTTAAGAGCTTACACGCAATTTCGATCTTCCTCGACTACAGCTACAAAAAGCTCGCAAACGCAATAACAGACTTGTACGATGTAGGACTTTATATTACGGTAAGCGTAGTGGTTTCGAGTTTATTTAATTTCAGATTTGTGTATTCTACGAACTAGATCATAGACTACGTAATAAGATAAACCGTGTAAAAAATATCCCGAAAAAAAAATAATTGAATGTTTGACAGAGATTTCAGACACAAAGTAATTAAATTGTGTGTGTAGTTAATAGTTGTATCTATTAAGTAATTAATAGAGATACAAGTGAAATTTTTTACATTCTCCTTAAACAATTCTTTTCTCTGAATTACATTTTTACGCAATAACAATCTATAAAAAAGTCTATCTCTTGTATGTAACTTCATTCTGTAATATAAAACTAGATATGTGGCTAAAATGCACAGTATATGTTATTTGATTTCTTATTGTCATGTTACGCTCGATTTAAATCTCTAATTTTGCAAACATCTCCGGAATTACGGAAACGGAAATTGTTATTGCTCCCGCTTAATTCGGCCGTGATAGTAACATCTCACACCACAGATCGGAACATTCGGTAGAGTTAAGCAGGTGGACTATTCAACCCCGATACCAGAGAAATGCGAGATCGTTTGATTTTACTGCACAAGTTTTCACAAACTCGGAATTTCGGTCATTCACTGTCATCGTAAGAGACGACTATTAAAAGATATTAAAACGCGATAAATTCTATGATCAAGAATAGTAAGAGCTATTTTCAGCAAGAGCTATCTTCCTTATTGTCCCTGTAGATAAGTCAATAACATTGATCGCGAAACTTAAATTTCTTATTGGAAGGCTAAAATTACAGGATAATTAAGAAAATTAAAAAAATATATATGCATTTTATAAAATAAGCAATCATATGACATGACGAAAAAAAAAAAAATAATTGAAATCACTATTAAACAATAATTATTAATTATTTCTTATACAGCTTGTAAAATATATAACAATACACAATATTTTTCAATAAATATAACAAAATGAGAATTGGTATAAATTATCTATAAATCATATTTTCTTAATATTTTTAATGATTTAACATATATGTGATCTTATACTCATACTCAACAAGCCACAATTATTATAATGTCGACTTTTTGTAAAATAATATTTGTAATTTTACAAAATTACAATTATTTGCTTGAAGTATTTCGGTAATTGCAAATTCCAATGCAATATTTAGTTTATTATTTCAGTTAATAGCATCTACTACAAAGAAGAAAAATGTGCACCTTAATTTATTCGATGTTCAACAGGTTTCAATTTCGACTTATATACGTCTTCCTTTTTTTCTTCATTGTATCACAACATGACATGAAACTTTTAAAAGATCTCCGTTGTATATATATATATATATATATATATATATATATATATATATATTCTAAGAATACTCTTTGTATTCTCTTTTAGAAATTAGATTAAAATATACACATTGCTGTATATATCAAAATTTCAATTCATAAATTATTCGCATCTTAATATTATTTAAGATTTAAGCATTGTTTTAGCATTTATAAAATAAAAAAAAGGATCGGGTTTTTGAATTAATGTTCATGTTTTATCGCGAATGTGTCATAATGCGATCATATTGCAACAGTTTACTCTTGAATAAGGCCTCATAAGGTTTACCGTTACAGCGTTCTTACATTATAATGTGATTACATTACAATATCACACAGAAAAACAAGTGTGTTTTCGCGCAAATAGAAACGTAATACAATTTTGTTACATTTATCTGCAACGTGGAAAAACATTAATTTGTAGCATAAAGGACACAGTTGCAGTGACCATGCGACTCATTATATCGTCGTTTATTCTACACAATTTCCTCCTTCCGCCCATCTACGCTTACATTGCCATGGAATTATGTAGCTGCGCGGCTATTACACTCGGGATCCTTTCATGAGCAATTAAAGGAAATCCCCTTAATCTCAACGGCACGTTCCGGAAAAACTTTAGTGCAGCTACATTTCTCAAGAACTACTTTTCCGCGATATAATGCGGTTCAAAAAGAGGTAGAAGGAAAGAGAGAGGCCATGCTTCGTCGCGGGAGGCTGTAATGCCGTCGGATTACAACGCCAGCGAGCCAGACAGCCCACAGTGAACAAAATCTCGAGAGCGAATGCCCTGTTTTCCATTATAGCGATGTGCGCCCCTGTTCTTCCTCTATTTTCACATTTCCTCCTTTTTAGTCGTCTTCTTCAACTGTAGTTTCCACGCCAGTTTCGGCGAAAACCGAAATACAGCTCAGCTGACATCTGACTGCGCTGTATATTTTTTCCGTCTCCTCCCCGTTGTCTCCTTTCTCTCCCTTGCGTCAGATGCAGAATCAAAGATGAGTTTTCAAGTTGATGATTTTAAAAACTTCTGTGTTGGGCAGGTTTGTGGTCACTTTAAATTAGCTTCGAATTCAATAACTGCCCTCTCGTTATTCTAACTATGGCCAAACTAGCGATATTAATTAGGACAATAAGCCAATTAGAAGAAAATAATTTGCAGGATATCGTAAACTAATTCTTATAGCAAGATGTCTATATTTCATAATTAGAGAATTAAGAATTAATAAAATCAGAAAATTAATTATATAATTATGAGCAAACCTTGTTATTTGTATCCAGTTTTCTTTTTGTTCTTTTTTTTTTGTTTTTATGTATTTGTTTGAATATCTATGTTAACTAACTTATTAAATCATTTTGTTATTATTTCTAAAAGAGAAAGAATTGCTCTTAGATTATATTGTAAAATATAATTTCTAATAATAGAAACACGAAAGTCATCTTTACATTTATTCATAACAATGCTAAACATAACAATTGGCTTAAGATAAATTCTTGTGCCACATTAATGCTACTAAAAATATTTCTATATAACTAATTAACCTAGAAACTAATTATATCCTTTCTCATAAGCTTCCTTTGAAGCTAATCTCTCTCAAAGACGATGCGAGCTGGCAATTCACTCTCCGATGCACAAGTCGATCGTTCTCTTATTTCGCTTTCTTCGTCCTCGCTTTCATAAGCAATTGTCTCCGAGTTCTTTTAGGAATATGACGTAAGAAGAAACGAGAAAAAATATCAAGTATATTATTCTCTCTCTCTTTTTCTCGGCAAGTAAAAAATTTTTAACACAAATTACCGAGGCAAAATACAAGTGTTTAATGGGTCTGCCATGCTCGAGATCGCTCGTAATTAGCTTCGCGGTATTTTAAAAGCATTTGAGAAAAACTTGAGTGAAGCTCGCCCTCTCTCTAGTAGCTTGCTCGAGGGTTATCCTTAATATCAAAAGTTGATTCTTTCACGGTAAGAGCGCGCGCGTAAAATTCTGACTAAGCTTTTACGAGCGCCTCTCAGATTGTAAATCAGATCCGCTATAAATTAGATCAGCGTTTTACAAGACACTTCCGCTCGATTTTTGCCGATTTCCCAAGATCGTAAACGACTACAACGGATAACAATGCCGTCGCGAAATTGATATTCTGCATCTTGAAATTGGACGAAGTTGGAAGCGCGCGAGGAAACGATACAGTCACCGGTAAAACGTGAACGGTGATAAATTACAAGTATATACGCACATACTTCACAGTCGATCGTTGTGCTTGCCGATATTTTCGGCACTAGCAGGTGATTAAACCACCAGAGGCACACGAAGCACGTAAGAAGATCTATGAAAGCATGTTTTTATCTCGGTGACAATATCAATCGAGAATCGCAGTGTTAGTAATACTAACTAGTAGTAACACTATACGCTTCCAATAGAGATCGAAACTCGAATAAATAGCGCAATCATAATTTTGTTCCCTAGCACATTTTTATTTTGTACACACATTATAAAACAAATATAATTTAGGAATGACTCTATTTCATATAGAAAAAGATTAATTTTATACAATATCTTTTATATATCGTTTATAAATATCAAATAGTAAATCAACTTGAAACATTTTCTCGAAATATTTGTTCCTGTAACATGCAATCTTTACAGTATTAAAAATTAGTATTAAATAATTTTCTCTGCAGTATTAAATTTTTGTTAAACAATAAAAGTTTTTAAAAATTTTATTGAAAAAAAATAAAATCTACTTTCTTGTTGATATTTCATCATATATCATTTTTTTCTTCATATTTTATTGTAATGATTGTAAATACATCTTTTTGCTTATAATCTAACTAACAGAATTAAATTTTCAGATAAGTGACAAGGGGCGAACCAACGAGAAACGGAGCGATGACACGAAGACAGTTAATACCTTTACGGATTCAGTTCATCAAGCTGTAAGTTTACAAACCATTACTATTACCATAACTAGTATTTTACATCTTCTCTTCATTCAACTCAAAGCACGACTCGAATCTCTCTTCGTACCAAATGAGTTAATACGGTGGCTATTCTTGGTTCGCGCATATTTCGAATTTAATCTATATCTTCTAGTAAGCACGTTAAAAAAAAATCAACATAAAAAAGGAATTAAAAAAAGAACAAGAGGAACAAAATTTGAATATATTTAATACTTCATATAAAAAATTAGTGAAAATTAATATACGAAATCTCTTTGAATATATATTTTTGGTAGAGAGACATGGTAACCCATTCCCAACGGTTAACGGTCTTACTATTTTTGTTCCTCGCCCGTGAAGTCGTTCACCACGAAAACGATATAGTGTGATGAAGTGCGCGCCATGTAACCCGCGTGTTCGAAAACAATCGATACTTTACCACCAAACTCTTGAAAGTTATACAAAAGCAGCTGTCGCAGAGGGAGAGAGAAAGAGAAAGTCTGCGAACCCCGGCAAAATAAAGTTTCAAAAGCGAGACGAAAATGTTATTTGCTTTAAGTTTAATGTCGCGTAATCGATGCGGCATCTTTGTAGAATCTTGAACGATGATTAAATAATGCTCGAGTTATAAATAAATATATGTAAATTTATTTCGATGACATGCAAAGCGCTTTCTACCCGATTGCTAGCGCAGTAACGGATATTTTAGCTTTCTCTTTCGCAATTTTATTTTATCATTACTATACATATTACGTGTATATCCTTGTCAAAATTTATACAAATTTGGAATAATTCCGGCATTTGAAAGTTTAGTTTCGGCAAATGTGAAATAATAAATTTAAACACAACGCATGGCCAATTAACATACAATATATACTGATACATTCACCAAATTAAACTAAAGTATATTTAAAAAATTATCTCATGATAATATAATACACTTTGTTTAATTCCTTGTCGTGCGTGCGACACATGTTTGAGTTTTTACTCTACTACCCGGCAAGATTGATTTACACAAACGGCTAAGCTCTGAATTATACCATCCTTCGCTAATGAACCTGCCCGGTTGCTTGCGAGTTTCAACACCTTTCGTACACAGCCAGAGACAAATATCTTCCGAGCAGGATGATACTCGGAAATGTACCCCCCATCGCACAGTCGCGCAGCACGCCGTCGTAAATGCATTAACGCGTGAACCAAGCTCTATGTTTTCTTCCTAATAAATCGGAGGCAAGTTGACGTGTAATCAAATTGATTAGGAAAACATATGGCCCTCAGCAAGAAATTTACAATATGAGTTACACATGTAATTATAAAAGAATGCGAGAGTCATTATATATTTCATGATCGTAATAAATTTAATTACAGAAACTGAGGAAATGATACAATTAGGGGAAAGAGAAAGAAAGAGAGAGAGAGAGAGAGAGAGAGAGAGAGTGTGTGTATTTATTTATTTTTAATGAAAATGTGCAGAATTAGAGAATATTATAATTTAATCAAAAATTTTCGTAAGGATTAAGAAATTTTCTTCTCATAATGATTAATATAGTGCTTTTAATATACGAATTGAAATTTAATGGTTTGTTTGCTGCGCAAAATCCATCGAGGTATTTTATTAATTAAGTAATGATTAAATTCTCTTCTTTATTGTTTTCCAACATGAGTAAATCTTCGCGAATATTTATCTTTAACAAATTTCCACGATAGAATTGAAAGGAGATAACATTTCTTGCCAGCGACGAAATATTCCGACGTTGTTAAGCATCAATGGTATTATCGATAGGAAAAATTTTATGACAACGCTTTTTTACATTGTGATAAATTTTGATTTATATTCTTAAAGCAATTCTCTTCTCTCTCAAAATCCATTTCTTGTTTTCTTATCGTCACAATTACGTCTTATGTTATATTGCCATGTAATTTCGTTTCCTTAACGCACGCGTATATATATGACATGTATCATTCCTTCTTCTCTTCTTTTTATCATTCTTTCACTCTTTTGATTTCGTTCTTTCTATCGCACATCTATCTGTTTTCCGGGAAAATTTTTCCAATCCATCATTTCGATACTGCGTGCGATTATTTTTACCTAAATATATGTTCTTTATGTCGCGAATTTATTTTTATTGGTCCACGCGTTTTCGACGCATGTTATTCGCTTTCTGACCTCCCTTTTCCTCATTTATGTTTTTTTGAAAAATCGGTGGCGAGTTTTGCTTCGTACTCAGCGAAGGGAATCGGGTCGGAGTCGCTGACAAAAGAAAAACCGGACTGAAAAAACTGAACTTTCACAATTGGTGGAAAAGCTCGTTGTAAAACACTCGCACAACGAACGAGAGATCCACGATTTTGTTGCTTTTTACAACTTACATTCCTAACATTTCAATGACCACTTAATTAATAGCCGCATAAATATATATATATTAAGCATAATATTCTTTCGTATTTTAAAATACTATTTACAACTGAAAATAATTCTTATTTTTTCAACTTTTTATTTTCAATCTTGTCATGAAAGCGTAATCAATTGTGGATTTTTATTCAATTTATGTTGTACGAAACTATAATCAATTGTTGTGAAGAATTAACGTAGGTTGTCAAAGGTTTGTAAAGTTATAAAAGTTATGCTTATAAATCAATTAATGGTCGATTATAAATATGGGTTGTTGAGTATAGCCCGTTTGATCAATTATTTCTTTATTCTGCTCTTGTCAAATCCAATTTACTGAGCACAATCACATTGAATACATATATATTACGCTTGTATGCTTGTATTAATGCTATCATAATAAATATTATTGTGAATATTATATATTTTCGAGAGAAAAAAAATTCACTCAAATATACAAATGTTACCAAAAAAATTTACAAGAAAAATAATATAAAATAAAATAATAATAATAATAATCAAAACAATTCCTATATATACGATACCAACCGCGAATTTCGATCGTTTCTCTTCCGGAATTTTTAGATAACTCTAATGTGCTTCTCAATGTCTTGACTTTCTTGGACATGTAAACTGTCATATTTATGCGATTTAAAGAAATAAAACTTATTATTTATAACGCATGTAGCACATGTTACACCCGTGACTTTTTTTCCATCGCAAATGATGCTGAACGGTGGTGAACGTAATTTTAGAGACATATTTTTTCCGCCGATGTACACACAATAAAAAACGGCTGTTTCTTGCCCTATGCGTTATTGTTTTTTTTTTTTTTTTTTTTTTTTTTTTTCTCCATTGAGGGGGCTATTTTTTTGAACGTGTTTTATTTCATAGATTTTTTTTTTTTTTTTATAATA